CACCGGGGACGGGCACCCGCCACCACCGACACGGAGCCCCTGGAGGACGCGGTACCGGCTGTCCCRGGGCTGGCTCCGGAGAGGGGCTGCGAGGGAGGGGGTCTGGCACGGCGAGTGCGGAGCCCGGGTGCCTTTGGGATGCGACTGTCGGTCCCTGCGGGGAAACTTGGCAGCCGAGGGGGTGGTGCCGGAGGAAAGAGAGGGTCTGGGCCCGACAGGGGTTTGGGGAGTCGACCGTGGGGCTGGCAGCGCACCGTGCCAAGGGCCCTTSTCTGAAGCTGTTTGTTTGCGAAGGAGTTGCAGCTGGTGCTGCGATCACAGCGCGGGCAGACATCAAAGAGTAGAGCTAACGAATTCCCTGTTATCTCTGCCTATTGACAGCTCAATTAGAGCCGGAGAAATGCCAAACAGGGGAACACAGGCTCTCCCGAGAGGCGGAGAAGGGGGGGCTCCYAGCTGGGGCTGTGGTGGGGCAAGAAGGATGCAGTAGCTGGGCACAGGGCCCTGAGCAGGCAGGAGAGCAGCCAGCCCTTCTCTCAACACCTGGGAGATGCTGGGGGCAGCGCGGGGCCCTGCCGGCACGGCTGCTCTGGCAGCGAGCACAGCGAACACACAGCTGACACAGATAACACACACAGGTAACACAGATAACACACAGCTGACACAGATAACACACACAGGTAACACAGATAACACACACAGTGAACGCATGGTTAACACAGAGAACACAGCTGACACACGGTTAACACAGCAAACACACACAGTGAACACAGCTGACACAGCTAACACAGCTACCACAGCTAACACAYAGCTAACACACGCAGTGAACACAGCTAACACACACAGTGAACACAGATAGCACACACAGATAACACACAACGAACACACAGTTAACACACAACTAGCACTGATAACACAGCTGACACACAGCTGACACACACACAGCTAACACAGACCTAACACACAGTTAACAGTTAACACACACAGCTAACACAGCTAACACAGCTGACACACCGCTAACACAGCTAACACACCGCTAACATTCAGCTAACACACAGCTAACATTCAGCTAACACACAGCTAACATAGTTAAAACACTCCACTAACACACAGCTATCACACAGCTAACACAATTGACACACAGCAAACACACACTGTTAACACGGCTAACAAACACACAGCTAGCACAGAGCTAACACAGCTGACACACAGCTAACATAGCTAACACACAGCTAACATAGCTAAAACACTCCACTAACACACAGCTAACACAATTGACACACAGCAAACACACACTGTTAACACGGCTAACAAACACACAGCTAGCACAGRGCTAACACAGCTGACACACAGCTAACACAGTGAACACAGCAAACACAGCTGCCTGCAGTGCAGGGGTAGCTGTCTCTGACTCCTGCTCGCTGTCCTGAGCATAAGCCCAGGCTTTGGGCCGAGCAGTTAGAGGCAGGGCCTTGGGGTGGTTGATAGGCGGCCCCTGTTCTCTGGAGCATGGCAGGGTTTGTGACCAAAGCACCGAAGGATATGTGCCATCAGGGACCCCAGTTGGATGGCTCACCTTCCCCACAGACACAAAGCTATGGATCCCACAGCTTTTGTGGGAAACCTGCTGCTCCCATAGTTCAGAGCAACCCACAGCAGTGAGGTAAACCCTGCCCTGATGGTGCCACAAAACCAAAGGACCCCCCTTGAAGGGTGGTGTCTCCCGTGCACCCAAACACGTGCATGCACACTGGCACAGGCACTCATGCATGCCCTCAGATGCCCACATCTGCCTGCGCACCCCATGCACCTCAGGCAGTCACCCAGGTGCACATGCAGTGTGCTCACACACCTAAGCCTGTCCCCAGATGTCCCCAGACCCAGACCCTGCATCCCATCTCCTTCCCGTGCTGCATGCCACGTCAGTGCTCGCCTGCCCGCCTGGCAGGTCCTGCCGGTTGCCATGGCAATACTGAGCCTGCCAGGAGATGAAGTTTGCTCTCCTGTGCTGCAGTGAGGGGCCGAGAGCAGCCGGGGGGATCAGCTCTGCCTGCCACCCCAGGCTCTGCCCACCATCCTGTAGTGTTCCCCAGCATTGTCTCCTCCGGCTGCACCAACCCAGCCCAGCAGTTCTGGCCTCCATCTGCCTCACAGGCCATGGACCTGCTCTCTGCAGGAYCACAGCACATGTCAAGGACTATCCTTTGGTGGAACATCACCCCACCACAGGGAGCCACCTTCTGCCAGCCGTGCTTTCCAGGACCAAGCCTTGTCCAGTGACAGGCAGGACATGGATCTGTCCCAAAGCACTCCCCATCACCACACAGACCCTGGCCCTGCCTGTAGTGCCCGCAGAGCCAGGCATCTCCAGAGCCCACTGGGGTCTGCCAGCTCCCCTGTGCAGGATATGATGTCATGGGCTTTCCAGTTTTAGCCAGAGCAGGGACAGATCCTGCTGGTTCCCATGCAGAAGGAGCAGGCTGGTGCTCTGCCATGCCATGCTGTGCTGTGCTTTCCAGCGGGGCAGGTCAGAAGTGGAGGGGGCTGCCTTAGCCAGTGCAGTCCCGGGCAGTAGGGGCAGGGACAGCAGGGTCTCCAAGCAGCCCCAAAGTGCCGCATGGCCCTGCTGCMCTCCCCAGACCCCTGCACCGTGAGGGGGACTGGCAGGGCTCTGGGCCTTCTGCTCCATCTGCTCAGCCCAAAGAGGCTTTTGTTAAGGCTGCCCAGCAGCAGGGACAGGCATGGCTGATGCCAGAGCTGCCTTTACTCCCTTGCCTGGTTCTTCCCTTGTACCTGGGGTGAGGCAGCTCTGACCTGTCTTGTAGACAAGATCCTGCAGATCTGTCCTTGCTCCCAGCCCTGGCTAACCTCCCAGAGGCCCTGCCCCTGGCCTAAGAGACAGCTATGGGGCACACTTAGTACCCTTAGGGTCAACAGACAGTGTGCCTGTGCCCATCACACCAMAGCAGCCATGCCCCAGCACTGACCCTGCTCCAACTCCTGCACTTGGCTTCCGGACCAGGACCAGGGGGTGTCCCTAATGTGTCTCAGAGTGCMCGGTGCTGCACCCCATCCCAGCATCTCAACCCTCCCTGCAGTCCAAGAACAATGGCTGGGGGCCATGGAGGACAGCTAGAGCCCTGCAACCAGCCCAGGACCAACCCCTGGGGCTCCATCCTGCACCCAGTGCCTGCTGAACCAACCCCTGGGGCTCCATCCTGCACCCAGTGCCTGCTGAACCAACCCCTGGGGCTCCATCCTGCACCCAGTGGCTGCTGAACCCCTCTCCAGCCTGTCAGAGCTGTCAGCAGCTCCAGCTCTGCTTCAAAGGGCCTGGCAGCTGCTTCTCCCAGCACTGGGAGTGCTTTCAGTAATAGTGGGGAGCATGAGCTCACCGTCCCAGTGAGGACAACGGTGACATTTGGGAGGCACAAACACAGTGTGATTAGCTGATAACCTTTCCGGAGAGATCCCAGGTGTGTGCACCTGGGGGGGAGAGGGAGGGGGACGTGGCCCCAACACTGTTAGCCTCCAGAAAACAGCTCTAAATGGCCCAGCCTGCCTCTCCACACAGGACATGGAGAGTGCCCTGAACGAGTCACTGACCCTACAGACCGGGCACCCTGAGCGTGGACACCCCTCTGTGGCACCTGCAGCACAGCCATGCCCAGCTGTGTCCATCCTAAAAGGTGTTTCTAGGATCCCACCGCACTGGGAGGTCCCGCAGAGGGTGGGGGCAGCCCCCARCACATCGCACAGGAGCCCACAGCATCCTCCCGCACAGGCAARCAGAGGCGGATGTGGTTCCAGAGCAGGGTGCCAAGGTCTGGCATTAGCAGAGGTGCCAGCTGGGAGCCGAGGCTGCTGCGAGGATTGCTCCCACAGCGCGGGTGGGGCTGTGCTGGGGTGGGGAGGGACACAGGGCACTGCAGAGAGGGTCCCCGTGCATGTGTCGTGCTGTGAGGGAACGGAACTCATCCTCAGMGGGTCCCCACATGCGACATGCCCCGTTCCTGCCCTGCTGAGCAGGACCAGATGCCGGGGGCCAGGATCGGGGCGTCCGGCAGCGAACAGGGAGGGTCTGTGTGCGAGCTGGCAGGAACTGGGCAGGGCCAGGAGGTGCTGGGTGGGGGCTGGGAGGGCGCCAGGGCAGGCTGGGCTCCGCAGCTGGGCCGGGAGCGCTGCCAGCACATTCCTGGGCTGCCGGGCAGCGGGAGCGTGTGTGGGCGCAGGGCAAGAGCGCGGCGATTGCCTGACCCTGCCCACTGCCCACCCCGACGGGGCCACACTGCCCCCGGGCAACCTCGACCCCACGGTGTCCCCAGTCATGCCCCAGCCTCCCGCGGCCACTCGCAGGCAGGACCACCCCGACGGAGCCGTGCTGCCCCGCAGCGTTGTCCCCAGCCGGGGCGCTCTGTCTCGGGAGCTGCTGGACACGGCTGGACAGGAGTCCCTGCCCTGACAGCCCCGGCCGCGGCCCCTCCTGAGGCTCTCTCTCCATGCACGGCCAGCCCCAGGACGCTATCCTCTCCTAAAGGCCGCTGCTCCAGCCYGTGCCCAGCACCGTTTCAGCCCAGAAACCAGTTCGGGGCTGGGACAGGAAGGATGAGAGGATGGGGAGACAGGAGGAAGGGAGGGAGCCCACTCAGCCCACCCAACCAGGCCCAGGGGATGCATCTCTGCTGACAAAAACAAGGTCGGTAGCCCCTAAAGGTGCAGCAGGAGAGCGGTGGGGACACAAGGATGGAAAGAGTTGGCCAGGACTCTGCTCAGCTTCTCATTTCCTGGGAGCCTCCTGCTGCCCTGGTTCGGATCTGCTCTGTGCTACCACCAGGTTCGTGTCCTCCACAGGGAGGGTCCGGAGTGTCGAGGGGACACCCCCAGGGGATGTCCTCTTACCATGCCACCCTGGCTGGCCGTCCCCGAGGTCCCCACCGCAGAGGGGGCAGCCCCCATGGCCCCGCTTCCGGTCTCGCTGCTGTGACAAGTGGCACAGGCAGTGACACAAGTGGCGGCACAGCCAGCTCCTTGGAGTGACAGGAGCAAGTGTCAGTGTCACAGACAGGGTACAGAACGGGGATGTGGGCACTGGAACAGCCTGTGCAGGCAGGACACAGGGAAGGGGTGCCAGCGCCAGCTGTCGGGCCAATCCCCTTCTCTGGGGTACAGCCCAGATCTGCCTTCCCTGGGGCATCCTCGCTGGGAAAGGGTTAAGGAAGCGACGCGAGAAGCAGCCCCAGAGCAGAGGCACAGTGACAGAGACAAGGCTGTTAAGACACCCCACACGGGGACAGCAGGGGACAGACACCACTCTTCTGGGGCCAGCCCTCCTCTCCACATCATGGCCACGAGGTGACTCGGGGCTCTAAGGAAGGCACCACGACGGACGAAGGGACTGGGCCAGCTGGCAGGGAGACCCTTGCTCAGCCCGAGCCTCACCAGCCCCCTCACCTTCATCTGGTGGGGAGCCAGAGAGTGCTTAGCAGCCCCAACACCTTCCTGGGAGGGACTGGGATGGAGGTGCCAGGCTGGGCTGTGGGATGGGGCAGGCTGAAAGCCAGGAGCACGTCCATGGTCAAGAGCAGGACAGTGCTGGCAGTGCCACAGGAACAACCCAGGGACGTGGCACCCCCCAACTATGCTCAGCATCCGCACGCTGGCAGCTTAACCCTGCACACCCAGCGTCCCTCTGCTTCCAGTTCCTCACTCCTGCTCCCAGGACTCACCAGCCCTTTCCCAGCCCAGCTCCCATGGCAATTACACCCTGCCCAAACCCATCCATCACGGATTAGCTATTTTCTATCAGCATTTATCTCCAGACAATCTCACTCCTTCCGTGACAGCCTGATGCCTCCATCACCCTCCCTCYTGCTACCAGGCAGCCCTGATAAAAGGCTGCTGTATCTTATCGAGCTCCCCGGCAGTTACACATTAATGGTGCCATCTCCGGGGCTTGGCTGGGGTGGGATGAACCCAGCCCACCCTCGGGCTGGAAGCAAGCATCACTGGGTGATGGAATGATGGGCGCCGAGCCCAGCACAGAGGGCAAGGGCAGGGCAGACAGGCTGCAGGCAAGGGCAGGCTGTGCAGCTGAGGTTCCCAGCATTGCCCCAAAGCAGATGGACCCCACCAGGGCTGGGGGGACGGTCCCTGCCCCCAGCCCGGGGCCAAAGAGCAGCTGCTATCACTGCCTGCACCGGACTGTTTGCTCTATCGCCCATTAACAGAGCTCCCTTATCCGGCGGGCAGGGGCCAGTGGCAGCCCAAAGCCTGTTGGCCAAGCAGGGGCATCGATCACGGGAAAGGGAGGGGGTGCCCCAGATAACCCCTGCAGACAAATGGGTTTCTAATGGGGTATTAAGCCTTGCACCCCCCATCTCCAAGGGAATGGGAGAATGTGGTCCTGGCAGGACCCTCACACTGCTCGGGCTCCAGCTTTGCCCACAGCCTGAGCACTGGCAGAGCCTTTTGCTGGGAGGTGTAATCCCAGCTAAGCCTGTGCCAGCAGACCATGGACTGCCCAAGGTGCACTCTGGCAGAGACATCCACGAGAAATAAGGACTCTGCTGGTGGCATCACCTTGGCATTGGTGGCACACCTGGCACCTGGACTGRATACCCCAGTCCCCCCAGCTCTGCAGCGTGAAGCTTCTGGGGTGCCCTCTTCCTTAAACCCCTGCACCCCAAACATATTGTCTTGGGAGAAAAGAGTGGGGAGTGTTGTGGCACAGACCAGGARCCAGGGTCCCCTGCCCCATGACAGAGTGTGCCTTTGGGGTGCCAGGTGGGATGGGGGCAGAGGGACTCCTGAATGACGGGGGCAACTTGTGGCCATAACAGCCCTAATGGGACAGGCGAGCCAGCACTTCTAGAWAGCATCACCCCAGGGGCACACAAAGCCAGGGTGGGCTGGGGGGCGCATCCGGGGGGCTCCCTGGGAGGGCGAGGGGCACGGAGCACCATGCGCCGGGGAGGGAGGGAGGTGGCAGCGCTGTGGGCAGACAGGGGGAGCCGGGGGCCAGCCCCGGGGGGCCCKGCAGACAGAGCAGATTGGCTGCCGGCGAGGTCTCCAACCTCCTTAGAAAGGGCAGCGAGCGTGGGAGGCGCTAAGGGAGCAGGCAGGGCGCCGAGCCGCGCTCCCGTCCCGCTCGGCAGCGGCAGGCGGGCAGCGGCGATGCCGCAGGCGGGCAGCCCCCCGGGCTCCCGGGGCACGGCGCTGCTGGCCCTGGCGCTGGCGCTGGCAGGCTCCCTGGGCGGCGGGCAGCACTACGACTACTACGGGTGGCAGCCCGAGAGCCTGCCCCACGGGCGCTTCTACGGGCGGGAGCCGCAGTGCCTCGACATCCCGCCCGACATGCAGCTCTGCCGCGACGTGGGCTACAAGCGCATGCGGCTGCCCAACCTGCTGGAGCACGAGACCATGGCCGAAGCCAAGCAGCAGGCTGGCAGCTGGGTGCCCCTGCTCGCCAAGCAGTGCCACACCGACACCCAGCTCTTCCTCTGCTCCCTGTTCGCCCCCGTGTGCCTCGACCGGCCCGTGTACCCCTGCCGCTCCCTCTGTGAGGTGGTACGTGACTCCTGTGCACCTGTCATGGAGTCCTATGGCTTCCCCTGGCCTGAGATGCTTCACTGTGCCAAGTTCCCCTCCGACCACGAGCTCTGCATTGCCGTCCAGTTTGGGAACAGCAAAGTCACACCGCCACCAGGTAAGTGGGAAGGGTACTGGGATGGGAATATATGTGGAGCCCCTGCACACCCAACCCTTCACCCCTCAMAGCACAGCCCAGGACAGTGGTCACGGACTCTCGGTCTGCGACAGGGCACAAGTGGGCACAGTATCAGCTTTGTCTGGACACCACTCATTGCCCAGAGATGCTGGGCTTCCAGCTGTCTGCATAGAGTTGCCCTGGGATAAGGGCRAACATGGGATGAGGTGGGAGTCACTGGCAGATCCACCACAGTGCTATGTCCCTCTCCTCCCGGGAGTCCCATGGCTGGTCCCATGCAAGCAGCAGAGAGAGTGCTGCACCTGCAGGTCTCAACCCAGGCTGATGCTGCAGGGTGGCTGTCCCCTCAGGCAGGAGAGGGGACATCACCCAAAGGCAGCCCAGGGTCAGGAGCACGGCTGTGACACCCTCTAGGCTRGAGCCACCCTCACTGTTGCTGTGCTTCAAAGTGCCAGCATGTGATGAGAGGGTGTCCCCATTTCTCCTCCCCTCCTGGGTGATGACCATGGCCAACCAGGTGCCTCCCCACACCACCCCAGCACAGCTACCTGGGGAGCAGAGGAGCTGCTGGGCTTCTCCCAAGTGTGTCCCCGAGGTGATAGGTGTCAGCAGCAGAAAGCTGTGACAGTGACTGGTCTCTCATTGCAGTGTCCAAAATCTGCACCCAGTGTGAGATGGAGCACAAGGCGGACGGCATGATGGAACAGATGTGCTCCAGTGACTTTGGTGAGTGCTGGGGTCTTCTTCCCAGCCCCCCTGCGCAAAGCTCTGCCTCCCTTGGGTCTGACAGCTGGTGCAGGAGTTAGCCAGAGGGCAGGGTTGTGTGGGGACAGCCCCATGGGGGACCCCCGAGCCATTCCCTTGAACCATTTGTGCACGGGATGGGTGCACCACAGGAAAATACATTGGGGGGGGGATAGGCAGAATGGGACATTTGGGAGGGTTGCTGGGAGCCTCTGCTGGACCCCCCCAATAACCCCTTCCCCTCCCCATGCAGTAACTTCCCCAGAGCCCCACTCCAGGGATGGGCTGCGCCCTGTTCTGCACAGGGGCCTGGCCCAGACCCTCCCCTCCCCAGTACCCCAGCAGTGCTCCCCTCCCCCAACCGCGCCCCACGGCTGCCCCACACAGTGGTGAAGATGCGCATCAAGGAGATGACAGAGGAGAACGGGGAGCGGCGGCTGGTGGCTGCCCAGAAGAAGAAGGTGCTGAAGCTGGGCCCGCTGAAGCGCAAGGACACCAAGAAGATGGTGCTGCACATGAGGAACGCGGGCACCTGCCCCTGCCCACAGCTTGACAGCCTCAGTGGCAGCTTCCTGGTCATGGGCCGCAAGGTGGGTGGCCGCCTGCTCCTCCTGGCCATCTACCCCTGGCAGAAGCACAACAAGGAGATGAAGTTTGCAGTCAAGTTCATGTTCTCCTACCCTTGCCCCCTCTACCACCCCCTGCTCTATGGGGCTGGGCAGCACTAGGGCTTTGCCCACCCTGCCCTTTCCCAGGACTCCTGCACTGGCCTAACATCACACCCTTAGCCTCCCTGGCTGTACCCCAGGACCCTGGCTCTGTTCACCTCAGCCCCTTGGTTGTGCCCCAGATCCTGGTTTTGCACCTGCTGCATTCATGGGAGCCTGGATCCGCAGCCAGAACCCATCTCCTCSTGAGAGCCCAGCTCTGCACCCCTAAGACCCCTGTTCTGCTCCCAGAACCTCTGCCCCTGTCCAGGAGCTTAGTCTGGACCCAGGACCTTTGTTCTGCATGCTTGAGAGCACTGCTCCACCCCAGAGACCCTGGACTATTCCCAGGATCCCTGCCCAGAAAGCCCTGCTTTCATTTAGGATCCCTGCTTGGCCCTCTTGGCTGTGCCTGAGATCCCCACCCTGCAGCCGTGTCCTTTGCCCAGCTCCCTCATGACATGCCCCAGACCTCAGCCCCCCCAATCCCTGTTCCAGCCCACCTTGAGCTCACACCCAGCCCTGGACCATCTCACCTTCACAGAGGCCTGGCCCAGCCCAGGGAGATCCCTTCTACCCCACTGTACCCACAGACTGTCCCTCTCAAGACCAAGGGCCCAGACCAGCACAACCCCTTSCTGGGCTCCCCCACTCCCCATTCCAGATGGCCCATTCATGGCTCAGTGTGTGTGAAGGGGGTCCCCCTCCAAGCCCCCAGACCAGCCCTGCTGCACTCCTCGCACACAGCCCTGCTGTGACCCAGCCCAGGCTCACCCTGCCCCTCCACCCCACAGTAAATTATTCCACCTCAGACAAGTCTGTGTGCAGCTCACTGCAGTTCATGGGTAAGAGACTCTTGGGGGTCCCTCAGGGAGCTCAGAAGAATGGGAGGGGGATCCCAGTCCTGCCCACCGAGGGAGGCAGCCTGAGGGAGCGAGGTCACCCCAGGCCTGGCTCTAGCCCCACTCCAGGTGCTGTGCCCAGAGCCTGAGGCTGGGCAGTCCAGCCCAGCCAAGRGATGTGACTCCCAGTGGTCACAGACATCACGGAAGAGTCTGGCACCCCTGCCACTCCRTGGAGTCTGGGGGAGCATTGGGATGAGTAGGAGGGGGGGACAGGGCTGTCACTGCTGCTGGATCCCCACAACTGGGTCTGAGTGTCTCACAGGGAARTTTCTTCCTTCATCATCCCAGGGGATAAATCCATGGTCGGGRAGCTTGCAGCACTTGGGAGAAGCCTGGCCCTGAGCATTGTAGGGGGCAGATCCTGGACCAGGCAGCTTCCAGCCCTGTTCTCCCCAYACCCTGTCACCTGGAAGCCCTGTCTGCAGCTCCCTGCCAGCCCTGCTCGGCTGCCAGACCTCCCATGCCATAACCTCCAGCCTCTGAAAAGATTCCCAGAGCCACCCACCTGCACTAGCCAGGATCTTCCCAGGAGCACAAGGACTGGGAGAAGCCTCAGCCCAGCCCCTCTGATGGCAGCAGAGTGCTGTCCTTTAGCTCAGCTCAATTTCCCCAGCTTCCCCCCAATCCCAGTTGGCAAGGGGGCAGCCTGAACACCCGAGTCCCGTTTACCCAGTGCATGCTTGTATCCACCTGTCCCAAAGTRTGAGGGGGGCCCGATGGTGGCCACCGAGATATTCCTGCGGTGCCTGGCTCTGTGATACTGTGTCTTCTCTTCAGAGCTGACCTGGCCTCAGGGAGCTTCCTGGGACAGAGGGAAATTGAGGCTGCAGGACCTCTGCACCCACCCTCCTCATGGGTGATAAAGAGCACTGGGCACCAGCCCTGCTCCGGGGTGATCTCTTCTCCCTCTACCCTCCTTTGGTATRGCCTTGGCCCCACTGCTCAGCTTCCAGAGCTCCAGATCTCCCACTCTGGCCAGGGAGAGGTGMCCCACAGCCAGCCAGGAACATGGGGCAGCCAGCCTCTGCCCCAGCCTCACACCATGCACTTACTATGTCCACCTTCCTCCCTGGCCACTGGGGGAAAAAAAAGGGGAAAAATTTCAAGTATTATTAGAAGGTATTTTCAGAGCCTGACTGCTGAAYACACTGCCATAGGAACAAACATCAATTATGCCGTTTTACTGCAAAATTTAAAAAGCATAAATAAAACCCCATCTCCCACAGCCTAAGTTAATCTGTAGCCCTCTGTATTCTGTGTCATTAGCATCTTTCCAGAGAGTGTTCAGACATACGTGGCCATCGGGCTCGTTGCTCCAAGTGTTTTCTTTAGAAATATAAGTAGCTCCTCTGCCTCCCACTGTCAGCTGTCTGAGCAAGTTCACCCCTCCCAGCCCAGTTATCATCCCATTGCAGACACCCCCACAAACACATCCCAGCTCTTGGGGTGCTACACAGCCCCCTCCCCAATGTAACAGCTACCCCACTGCCCCCACCAAGTGCTTGCAAGACCTCTGCAAACCCGTCTCCTGCACCCCCAGCACAACYCAGACTCCCTCATCATTAAATGTCAAGTCCAGCTTTTCCCCATGTTTCCATGTGCAGGAGTTTATGAGCCCACAGCCAAGATGAGTGTTTAGGCTGCCTGCCCCCTAGGAGCTCCCACGCTGGTGGGATGCAGAGCCTGCAGTGAGGTCTGGGCTCCAGCAGCTTCTCAGACTGGTGGGTGTCACAGCCTGGTGGGCACTGGGCAATGCCAGCCCAAGAGCACTGCCCCCCCACCAGATTCCCTGGCTTGGGGGAAGCTGCAGCTGGCTGGCAGGGACCCAGGCCATGGCTGTTCCCAGCTGCACAGCAACCAGGGTCACATTCCTGGGATAGCTGGGAGCTTTGCTGTCCACACAAGGAAAGGTCATCCTTGTGCACACAGGCAGCTGGTGGGACCACCGCCTGGGGAGGGCAGGGGAAGGAGCAACCGCAGGAGGCAGAGGAAGCTCAGTAGCTCCTGTCAGAGCTGAGGTGCTCCCTGGCTCCAGCCCAGCAGGATCCAGCCCTGGCACAGCTGATGGGCAGCTGCACACAGCTCTGAGCAGGGGGCARACAAGGCTAAAGCAGGACAGAAAATGGAAATTCCAGTGAAGTACAGAGAGCTGGTGGCACAGACACACCATTTCTCCAGGAGCACCTGCAGGACACCAGGGCTAAGGCCACGGAGTGTAAGAGTGACCTGGGAYTAGAACAACTTCCACTGGGATGACACAAGAGCCAGCTGAAGACAGGAGATTTATTGGTCATTCTCTATATGCAATTATATATTAATCTGTAGTAGAAAGCAGCAGTCACTAAGTGCACAGAGCAGCACCAACTCCTGCCTGTTCTCACTGGAGACCCAGCCACACAGCCCAACCCAAACTCACTCTGCCCTCCTCTGGGCTACAGCCAGATCCAGGGGTAAAAGACTAAACCTGCAGGCATTGAGGCCAAGGAGCATAGGAGTGACTAGCAGAGTCTCAGCTGAGCCAGGATGAAAGATCTAGCTAGTCTAGACCYCAAGGGATGAAGTAGGAGCTCTGACCTGATCCCAAAAATACAGTCACTTTCAGCACAGTGCTGGGAAAAGTAGGGACAAAGCCCTGAGGTTGTTCTGCCTCACCCAGGAGGTGAGGGCAGAACCACGAGTAGGAAGGATGGCTCTTCCATCACAGAGCCAGGCCAAAGGGCCTGGGCAAACACGTGGCAGGGCACAGCAAGTGCCAGAGAGCACCCAGGGCTTGGAACAGCTGCAGGGACAGGGCGTAGCCATGGGCAATGCTCCATCACAGGGGCCCAGCTGGTGCATGGCAAGGAGGGCTGGTCCRTCCAGCCTGGCGCTGGCAGCAGCAACGCAAGTGCAAATGTCCTCTGGAATGCCATGCTGGGATCCAAACAGCCCAGGCTCCCCGTGCCAAGGGGCCTGCCCGCTGTCCCAGGTGTCAGGCAGTGCAGGACACAGGAGCTGGGTGGCTCTGTTTCATCACTTGATGAGCACCTGGTTGCAGAGAGCRCACACGAACACCGTCTCCTTCTGAGCCTCTGGGGCTGGAAAGGAAAGCAGACGTCAGAGACRCTCCCACTTTCCCACCACGGGCTAGGGACCCCAGCCACACAGTCACTTTGAGAGCTGCAAATTCGTCACTGCTCCAGGTTGTGCTGGGCACACCCTGTCTACCCTCCCCACCAGGGCTGGGGCAAATGCTTGGCAAGACAGAACAGGTGGAACCAGGAGCTCTTCCCTCCACCACCTTTCAACTCACCCGTGGCTCCCATCACGGCCTTGGGGACTTTGAAGGAACAACACCTGGAGCAGAAGCTGTTCCCACAGTTACTGCAGCTCCGCTGTGGAGAAAGATGGAAGTAAGCCCCAGATGCATAGCAGACTAACCCAGGAGTAAATGAAGGGGACCAAGTCTGCAGAAAGGGAGGCAGCAGRAAGACAGCAATGTGAGCCTGGAGAGGACAGGAGATACCTCCTTCTGAGAACTGTCCATGGACTGTGTGCCAAGCATCCCACTCAGGGCTCAGATAAGGCAACAGGTGGCTCCCAGTAGCAGACCCATGTTCTGCTTCACCAGAAGGCTCTCAGGCCACTGGAAATGGACTAAACCAGGGCACAGGTACCTTCTACAATACCACAGGTGGCTTTGGCCCGAGGCAGCTTCCAAAGGAGTAAATGGACAAATGTTCCACAACACAAGGGATGCCTGGTACCATTAGGCATGTAACAACACCCAGCATTTAGCTGAGGTCATCTGGGCTGTGATTGAGGCAGACATCTGAGCTGCTGCAGAAAGCCACAGCAAGCCAGACTTGAGCAACATCTCTGCCCCAGGGTGCAGACAGCAATATGGGGCAGACGTTGAAGACTCACCCTCTTCTTGAGCACAGAGAAGGTGGCAGCACAGCCTGTGCAGCTCCCTGGAAGAAAAAGAACAGAGGTCAGGCAGAGCTCAGCTRCCTGGGGCTGCAAGTGGCACAGGAACATCCATAGCTGTTGTAAAGGCTCAGCTCAGAGATGACATTGCTGCACCTTCCCAACCTTGCCCTTTCTAGGAGTGCTGGGAACATTCTTCCCTTGGAGTGGAAAGGGTCATTGCAGGTGTCAGCACAGTCCTGGCAGGTACCACACCACTCCCTCTACTCCCAGTCCTGTAGTCACCACTAGAAGCAGCACAGACCCCACACTTCTGGGCTCCCCGAAGAAGCACTGCTCCCAAACTCACCAAAGTTGTTGCTGGGGTAGCGCTTGCGCAGGCGCTCAGTCAGGCGCGAYACTTTGCTGCGGATCACCTCGTTTTTGCTCATAAAACCATTGTCTGGCAGGCTGAGGTCAAAATCTGCTGAGCACTGAGAGCTCTCATCATCCTCCTGTGGAGAGCAGAGCCAGCTGAGCACAGTGAGGTGCTGGGGGCACACTGAGCTCAGAGACAGCCACCCAACAAGCAGGGTGCTCCACCTGGCACTTCTACAAGCCACCTGCAAACCAGGCAAAGCTCCAGCTGGGAGGAGATGCCACACCCTGGCATGGCAGTACTCACCAGGACCAGCAGCTGGTTCTCCTTCTCCCGCAGCATGGGACAGAGAGGAGAGTGAGTACAGATGGAGTCAGAGGCACCCGGCCCCAGTCACCCTCCCTTAGCACCCAGTTAGTCCAACAAGGCATTTGTCCCTTTCCCACCTCAGCTGCCCTGCAGGCACAGCCCACCCCAACCAGCCTCAAACCTCAATAGCATCTTTGAACTCTTCATCAGGTTCTGCCTCCTCTGCTTCCTCCACACTGCCAGGGGTAAGGTCCTACAAGAGATTCACAAAGCTAGTCTTGYTCCTCCTCTGCCTCTCTTCAAAGGTGGCCCCACATTTCTTAGCAGGTTCCAGGACAACAGACCTGGCTCGAGGCAGCCCCACAGATGACACAAGTGTCAGAAGGTGAGGTGAGCCCCTGCCTCCTCAGACCACACCTTTACATGGGGCAAAAGGACTGAGCCAAGTCCCCAGGGCAGAGAGCAGCCTCCCAGAAACTCAGGTGGCTCACAGGCTTTCAGCAAAGCTGAAAGCTGGAAATAGTTTGTGTCTAGAGGGACACAGGCACAGTCAGAGCCAGAGTCTGACTCTGCAGCTCCCACCCCACAACTGCCAGCCCTAGCCTTATCTTACCTCTGCACTGGTGGGGGTGGGGGTCCGATCTGGGGCAGCAACTGGTGGCAGGGGTTCAGCAGGCTCTGGAGCACTCTCGAGGGGTTTGGTGCCCACACGCTGCTCGACACAGGCCTTGAGTTCCATTATCACTGGTTAAAAGGGAAATACAGCTGGAGTAGAGTGGCACTTCCCTTCTCCCAGACACACCACATAAAACCAGCTGCAAGACCTGATCTCCAGGGATCAAGGTTAGGCATTGACCCATATTATTCAACCATCAGATGTCTTGAGCCCTCCTCTGCTCATACATCAAAGTCAGGGCAGCAAGGAACACCCCCACCACCTGCCCCAGTTCAGGACGGGGAACAGCAGCCAATATCACAGCTCAGACACATCCAAAACTCCCCCAGCACAAACCACAGAAGCAGGCTCCTCTCCCTTCCAATAGCACGTTTTCAAGCCTGTGTCATACATTGCCACAGGCACTGAATGTCAAGTACTGAAGAGCAGGGTCAGGGATCAAAAGGGGTGACAATGCTCACGCACAGCCTGCATTGCCAAACCCTGGTTTGCCACACCATGGAGAAGAGAAGGAAACAACATCTGGGCTGGGACACACATCAGGAGAGATTCTCACCTCCAACTGAGCCCTGGAACCACACCACCCACCCTGGGCTGCTGAGCACCACCCCTAGAACATTGTTGCGTTCAGGAGAGGTTCAGAGTCTATGGTGGAGCCTGACACAGGACAGTGGGTTCATATGAGGGTGCTGGGAGAAGCCCAGGGCAGGATCCCCAACCCATTCCACACAGTGCACTTCCAGGGAGGTCTCATACCTTGGTAGAACTGGGTGTTGCCCAGGAAAAGGGTGCTGTTGAGGATAGCCAGGACCCAGCAGAGGGGCAGCAGGTAGAGGACACAGACAGTGCCCAGCAGTGCCCCATAAAACCTGTGAAAAGCATCAGGATACTGTARTCAAGTCAGAGCAACTTATACAATAGCATAAAACCCCTTCCTTCATCTGATGTTCCACGTATTCTCTCCAAGCACCAAACACACCAAATACAGAGCCGCAGGCCTAGCTGAGCCCCTTTGCCCACCAAACCCACCACAGAGTGCCTGACCCAGTACTACTCACTGGGAAGAGACAGTGGGGTTCTCCCAGTACAGCACACGGTACACTGCCTCGCAGCTGCAGCACATCCCGCTCAGAAACCCCTCAAGCTGGATCAGGCTGTGAATGAGACAGTCACAAAAAAGCCCCACAAACACACGCCCTCGCTCCCCCACATTCACACGGGTTACGGTGACCAAACTGGCACAAGCCCCCCACAGCCTTCGAGAAGTCTTCCTGACTGCAGAGGCACCCACAGTCTCACCGCTGGGGAGGCCCCAGGGACTCACAAGGTCTTGACCTGGGCGATGGCCTCCTGCCGCGAGAGCTGCACCTTGCGCAGATCCTCCCTGCGGATGCTGTGGTACCTCCTGCGCACCAGCTCGGGCTCCGAGGGCCGGGCCCGGGACGTCTCCTGCAGGTAACCCAGCAGGGCTGGCACCGCGACCAGCAGGGCGAGCACCGAGTACCAGGCAGCTGGAAGAGGCGAGACAGCGTCAGCCTGGAGGGTCCGGGGAGCGGACGAGCCCTGMCCCACGACACGCACCTTGGCCGAGGGTGAGCAGTAGGAAGTTGATGCCGAGGCAGACCAGGAGAGAGCATACAGGCCGCTGCCACCTGCCGAGAGGGGGGAAGGCAAGGGACATTAGACACCGGGGACGGTCACGGTCCCGATCCCGACCTAGCCCGCACCTACCGGAGGAGGGAGCGGACGCCCTCGGCGGCGTCCCGCAGCGGCTCCAGGTAAAGCTCCAGCCGCCGGTAGCTCCGCACCAACTCCAGCAGGTCGAAAGCAGCGGCGGCCTTGGGCGGCGACGGCTCCGGCGGGGCCTCACCAGACCCCGCCGCCCCTTCGGGGCCGCCTGCCGCCCCATCCCGCTCCACCGCCTGCATGACGGAGACGGGGACGGGGACGGGGACGGAGACGGGGACGAGGACGGGACCGGGAGCAGAGCGGCCCCGCCTCGCTCGGCCCGGCCCCGCCGCGCGCTCCCGTGACGCACCGGGCGCGCCGTTCGCTCCGCGCGCAGCCAATGGGAGCGCCGGGCCGGGCGCGCCGCACAAGCCCCGCCCCGGGCGGATCGGGCCGCTCTCGGTGCCGCCGCGCCGTTCCCGGGCTGCCCGGCTCCGCCCGCCGTCGGTGCCAGGCTCCCGGCTGGGTCCTGCGGCCGCTCTGGGCGTCAGGCTCGAGGCCGAGTCTTGGTGGGCCCGGTCTAGACAGGTGGCTCGGGGTTGTTCAGCGTCCCGGCCCGGTCCCGATTCGGGTCTGCTCTGGTGTAGGGTTCGGTCACAGCCTGGTTCCGCTCCCAGTCCAGGGCTTGACGCTGATCCGGGTCTAATCCTGGTTCAGGGCTCAGTCCCAGTCTGGGTCTCGGCATGGCCTGCAACCATGCAGCTTTGTGGCACAGTCGGTTTGTCCCCATGAGCCCGTTGCTGTGCCACCTCTCTCCGAGAGAGCAGAGGGCAGCCCCACACCCGGAGTCCCTAAAAGGGAGCAGCAAGTTCCCCACAGCCCTGTGAGCGTGGCTGGCAGCTCAGTCGCTGGYCCTCCACGCCCCCAAAGCAGTCGAGCCCTGGGTGCATTGGCACTGCCCTGCCTAGCAGCCTGCAGCCCTGCTCCCCCCGCTCTGGGCACCATGGGCTGTCCCGACAAGTGCTTGCAGTASAGCAGGGATAATGGCGCTCAGGGATGCTCTGGGGATCCTGGGCTTCATCTGATGCCAAAAGTTAGAACCTTATTATAACCCTATGCTGGCTCTTGGACAATGAGGGCTCAGTGCTGCTGCCGGCTGCCTGCAGCCTCTGATGAACAGGGCGTGAGTCCCATGGGCAGAAGGCTGGGGACCCAGTGACACTCCAGCTGCATGTCTAGGTCCAAGACTCTGTCCCAAGAGTGCATTCCTGAGCTGGAGCCAGTCCTGGGAGATGCTGGCAGCCCTCCATTGGCCCCTGACCCCCGCAAGGGCCAGTCAGTGTGTACATGACTGCCCAGCAGTGCCCTGACCTCTGGACAGAGGGCCCTTTCAGCCTGGAGTGAGGAAGCCCTTAGGAATGCAACTACATCCTGTCCTCAGTGCACCCTGCAGCCGCAGAGCCTTGGGGACTTGGCCACCCTCTGCTGTGTTGGAAGCCACATGTGAGCATCAGGCTGTGCCCTGCTTCTGGAGAGGCAGCAGGGCCAGGGATGGCCCCTGTCCCCAAGGGTAGAGGCTTAAGCCTCTATAGCAGAGAGAGCAGTGGCTCAGCAACAGGAGCCTTTTTGTGACCCCAGAACACCCCAGGACTTTGTGACCATGGCCAGAGGCTCCAAGCCAGGAGGCCCAAGGATGCAGGGCTACAGACCTCAGTGTGATCTCAGCTCAGACCTCATACCCAACAGGACCCATCCCCAGCACAAAGCCCCAGACACCCAGTGAGTGCCAACGCTGCTTTATTTGGAAGGTGAATCCATTGGCACCTGAAAGGAGGCTGTAGGAGGGATAGAGCTGGTGGGACAGACAGGGCTGCAGAAAGCCTGGGAAGGCACTTGTGGTGGCAGAAGCACCGAGAGCATTTTGGACAGCCTGGGCCAAGGGCTGCACAAGAGTGGGCAGAGGCAGGTGGTGTCAGGGACCAGCCCTGACACAGGGCAAAGACAGCACATTCCACCCAGGGAAGGGGCCTGGGGGTTGGCAGGGCCACTGAACATGATGGGGTATCCACTGGGACAGCACTTCACGATGGAAGTGGTGACCCAGTACCAATCCCAGACCCCTTCAAGGCCCCAGGGGGATCATGGCTGCTACTCTCCACCTCAAAAAAAGTTCCAGGGAATCCCAGGCAACAGCCAGAGCCTGTGGCCAGCTGCTGGGGACACCAGTCTCACTAATCTGAGTCCACACAGAGACTGCAGCAGACCCTCCCTTGCAMCAGGAACAACAGAAAGGACCTGCCTCCAGGCAGGGTGAGGAAGACTTGTGGCAGGGCAGCCCTARTGTGATGGTGCTCCAAAAATTCTGCCTCTGGCTGCCCATTTCTCTAGTAAGCCCTACATGACCTCATCAGGGCTTGGCACCTGGTGGGCTGTGGAGGCTGATCCAGGGCTGGGCTGGCTCCAGTGCCAGTGTCCTCTTCTGTTCTCCAARACAGGCTGTGCTCCCACAATGCCTGGCCCCAGCTTCCCCATGGCCAGCGTGCCAGCACAGCCTTGCACTGCCATGCTGCAATGCTTACCCTTTCCTTCCACCTCACCACAGTCTCCAGGCACTGCCCAGTCCCACAGAGTCCAGAGATGAGAATTTTCCAGGATGATAAACCAAGTGCGGCAGAGACAGGCAGGGCTGCAGGCTGGTCTCCAGAACCATCAGTGAGGCCGCTTCTGTCCCTTTTGGAGCAGCCTGGCCCCAGAGCTGGTTCAGTGGCTTTGGGTGGCTTGCAGCCACAAACCTCTCTGCAGGATAACAGGAGAGAACAACCCCATGACTGGCTCCCCTCAACCCCAGGGGCACCTGGCYCCATCCCAGAACTGTACAAACTCCAAGACTGGAAGAATTTACCCCCTGCCCAGGGTCACAGACCAGGTTACAGCTCCACTTGCCCTTCCCCTTGTTCTGCAGCAATGGAGGCCTCGCTGCCCTGCTCAATCCCCAAACTGGACTGGGGTGATGCTGGATCTGGCTGTGCAGTACCTGGGTTTCTCCACACCCACAGTGTGCAGGGCAGGGAGGGGATGAGCCTTGTGGGGCTCCAGTAAGATGAAGGATGTTTTCAGACCAGACAGAAGGAGGGGCCCAGACTACGCAAGCCAAGTTCAGAGCCTCCCTTAGGGAATTGTGGAGGCGCCACACAGCTGGAATGGTGAAAAGGGACTGCCAGCASGTCAGAGGGGCTAATGCACATCCAACTCCACTGGGCACTGCTGCCCCCAGCTCAGCTCCCCCAGGCCAGTCCCCCTCCACCCCAGAGACAGGTCAGCACCCACCTGAGCATGCAGCATCTGCAAGACCAGGGGCAGGGGAGTTTGGCTGGAGTCCTAGGGGSGCTCCCAAAGATTAGTATCCTTCTTAGGGGCTCTCCATTTGAGTCCTTCCACTTGCAGTAGCCTACGTCTGTCCAGGGGTGGGAGAAGGGCCTGTGCAGTGGCTGGGTGTCCATGCTGTCTCGGTGCGTTGCAGGGGAAGCCGTGCTCGATGAAGGCCTCTGTCTATCCATCTGTCTGTGCAGGAGTCTCTGGAGGAATTGCAGTGCAGTCAGCCAGGAGGGGATGGGGCAGCAGGGTCATTTCACCCCAAAAATGGGCTGTGCTCTGTCTGCGGCTGAGAAGGGGAGCCAAGTAGCACAGGATCTCAGATGATGTCTCGCTGGTCCTGGCAACGTCGTGACAGGCAATAGAGCCCAGAGAAGAGGTACAGGCAGGCAGTGATGCCCCCGCAGATGGAGGCGCTCAGGTAGGCACTGTAGAGGCAGTGCTGGCTGTAGCCCGGCAGGTTGCAAAAGCTTCTCTGCTTGGCCTTGTGACCCATGATGCCAGTGGCAGCTGCGTAGAGCCCCACACCCAGTGCCAGGTCGTGCACCAGGTTGGTGAGGAGCCAGCGGGAGCCCAACCAGGGCACCAGCTYCCAGCGCCCCAGCAGGCTCAGCCCGAAGAGCGCCAGGGTGAGGAGCCAGACCAAGACAGCGGCAAAGAGAGCGAAGTGGGCCGCCCCTTCGTACTTATGAGCCGCTACCGTCACCCAGAAGGCAGCGCCCAGCGCCAGCTGCCCCAGGCGTAGCAGGCCCAGCGGGCTCCGCAGGTAGGCGCGATGGAGGCTGAGGGAGCCGCGGGCGGGCGGCCCCGGGGGCGGCGGCACTGTCGGGGGAGCCGTGCGGGCCATGGCGCGGCCCTGCCTGCTCCGGCGCGGCTCGGGCGGGACTCAGGGCCGGCAGCGACTTCCTCCTTGACCGTTGCCAAACATCTGGCACTTAGCGGTCCTCCCCGCGCGGGGCCTCTCTCCTTTTCTCCCCGCCCCGTCTCCGCGCCCCGCCGCACCTCCCGCCAGCCCATCGGACACCCGAGGGCSGGCGCGGATGATCCGTCGGGCAGGGACCGCCGCGCCCCTCCCGTCCTGCCGCCGCCGGGGCAGTCGACAACGCGAGGGGCGAGGGGCGGCGGGACGGGGTGGGAGACGGTGACCGATGCCGGTGGCGGGGCCCGGGGACAGCGCACAGGGACGGCCGGCGGGGGGCGCGTGCGGGGGTTCCCCTTACGTCATTCGGGATACCCCTCGGAGTGATGCACGCCCTGGCCCCGCCCAGGGGCGGGGTCTCTGACCCCACCCGTGACGCCACCTGCGCCACGTGGCCTCCACAATGCAGCGGCGCAGCCGCGCCCCYCGGCGCAGATTGGTCCGGGCCGCGGGAGGCGGGCGGGGATTGGCGACAGGGCGCGGCGGCGSGCGCAGAGCGCATCAATGGGACGCTTTGCTGTGGCGGGACCCCGGTGCGGTGGCGCCAAGCGAGTGCGGGAACACAGCGGGCACCAGGCGGAGCGGCCACCGCCAGGTCTGTGCGAGAGGCCGGGGGACGCGGAGCGGCGTCGGAGCAAAAGTGGGTCACGGCGGGGCCCGGCGCCCCGAGCAGGGCGGGACCGGACTTGCGCGCGCCGGCCCGAGCCGGGGCGTCTCCCGCGTTCCCGGGTGGCCCCGCCCGCACCGCTGGCCCCCTGCCCGGCGTCCCGGACCGCCCTTCCCCCGGCGCCCCCACTTCCCCACTGGGCAACGGCGCCGGATCCCGGGGGCGGCAGACAGGACCGGGCGGCGAGAYCGGAGCCTGACGCCGACTGTTCGGTGTCCGTAGCGGCCAGGGCCATGGGCACGCCGGCCTCGGTAGTGAACGACTCTCCGGGACGGGCGGCGCCTGCAGCCCGCGGCCGTAAGCGGGCCTCGGCCAACATCTTCCAGGGCGTGGGGCTGCTGGAGCTGCGGAGCCTGTTCCGGAGCGGCGGGGCCGAGCGGCCCGAGGAGCGCGCCCGCCTCGTCTGGCGGTACGCAGGCCAGCGGCGCATGGCGAGGGCCCTGCGGCGGCTCCGGCGACGGCGAACAGCCCAGCCCGGCAGCGGGATGGCAGCGCTACGGCGTTTTGAACACCTTCGGTAGGTGCSGCCCGGGGCTGCGGGACAACCGGGRCAAGYGCGGCCGGGCCACCTCCTTAACATACACTTTTTCCCCGTAGGATCGTGGAGAAGGAGCTGGAGGGTAACTGAGGGGCCAAGACGGTCTCGGGGTCCATGTTGCTGTGCTGAGCGGTTGGAGCACGGAGAGCAGCTCTCCAAGGACACTAAGTGTACTGGGCAGAGTGCAATGAATGGTTAATAAAGGGTGGACAGTGGTGGCTGGGTGAGGCTCTTGTTGTGTCCTGCCCATTCCTGGCCTTCCCCCAGTGGGAGAATCATGGATGTTGTATGGCACCCCGTGCAAGGGGAACAGGCCCACACCACGGGTCAGGTTGGAACAGACCACGGTGGGTCATTTGGTCCCACCTCCCTGCTTAAGCAGGGTCATCTTAGAGCAGATGACACAGGATCGCTTCCAGATGGTTCTTGAATATCTTCTGTGAGGGAGACCCCACAGGCTCTCTGGGCAATCTCTTCCAGTGCAGTCATTCATACATAAGWGCCCTGGCACAGTCACAGGGCAACTGGAGAACAAGCTACATGCTGCCCCCTTCAGGTGAAGGAATGCATGGAAGAGAAAATCGAGTTTCTCCAGGTAAAGATTTCTCTGCTGGAAGCTGGCCAAGCCARAGGAGTGCAGTGCCCAGGAGAACGGAGACGTCATGGGGGATATTTTTAAGCTGAAGGAGCTGAAGCAGAAGGTGCCTCGCTGCCAAAAGAGCAGAGCTCCAGGCCATGGTCCTGTGTCTGAAGGAGGAGAAGCAGCTGCAGGAAGCAGCCCTGCAGTCTGAATGTGGCCACTTCAAGAAGCACCAGCTGGGCAACCTCATCACCAGCCTCCAGAGCTCACTTTCCGAGAGCCACTGGGCCCAGGAGAGGCTGGAGMAGGACCTGCACAGGATGCCAAGGGACAGCCTGGGCAGCTGGTTGCCCTCAATGCCCAGCATGGAAAGGGACTGTCCTGCAGCAGTTCCAGTTGCAGGAGGCCAGTGCATCCCTGTACAGGTACATATGGATATCAGCCATGGGCCAAGGACCTCAAACCTGCTCTAGGGTGCTGCAGAGGCGCAGATGTAGCCACGCTGAATGGCAGCTCTGTTATTCAGACAGTTGCATGGTTTAAATACATTACATACATTTCTACAGTGCATTAGAACAATACATTTTGGGTCAGTCAAATGCAGCTGGGCCTGGCTGGGAAGCTGGGATCTCCACTGCTACCCCCTCTGTGCTTACACAGCCAGTGCTGAGCCCACTTTCCATTGCAGGAGACAGAGCAGCKGCTCTGCGCTCCCAGGCTCAAGCAGCAGAGCCCCAACCTGCCTTCATCCTCCCCTCACTCCCCAAAGATGGGCTAACAGGACAGCAAGCCCCAACACCAACTTCCCCCAGAGGCCTGAGAAGCCACAGCTCAAGGCAAGCAGGTACAGGCAGCAGCCCTGGCACTGTTTTATACAACACAAGCTCAGCAGCTGCTGGTGAGAGAGGGGCTCCCTGCCTCCCCCACCCACAGCAGGCCTGCAAGATTGTCAGCTCCAAGGCAGCCAGGACTCCATGCTAGTCCTTCAGTGCTCCCACCCATGTGGCAAAAGAGCCCCTCTGGCCCTTCCCTGGCAGCCTCTGCCCCTCAAGGGGGTCTCTAGGCACAGACAAGGCTGGCATCATGCTGGCTGCACAGCAGCCAGGGAGCTTGCTGGGAGAGGGGAAGAAGTCAAGCAAGAGCAGCCGTGGAGACCTGGCAGAAGAAATGGACTGGGGCAGAAGCAGAGACCTCCCATGGGAGAGCTCTGCAAAGCCACCTGCTCTTCACAGGGACAAGCCAGCACCTTCTCCCCCTTAGTGTCCAACTTCACGCAAGCCAGWCCCATGTGTTGTCCCTCTTATGTCCCCTCCTCGAGCCTCTAGAGAACAGCCGTTCATTGCGGTCCCCACTACACCAGTGGGCAGCAGGAACTCCCCCTGAGGAAAGCAGCGTGCACGGGGTTGGGGCAGTAGAGGGACAGTGTAGGAGTACAGCACACCCTCAGGGAAATGGAGGGAGTATCACCTGCTAAAGGCCTTCCCAGTCTGGCAGCTGGCATGGTGGGGAAGAAAAAGGGCCAGTGGCTGGTGTAAAGGGCTGGACGGATCCTGGCTCAGGCAGCCTGTTCATCCCAGCCCCAAGCAGGGGTGCTCAGAACCGCATGCAGGCCAAGGAAGGGAGGCAGGGGTAGGGTCCCAGCCATGCCACAGTTCCTGGCAGATTCCCACACCTCCCCCTGGCCTCTGCCCCAGGCAGGGCACCAAGCTCCAATGGAGCTGGGAAGGGACCATGCCCAATCTGCCTAGCTCCTCCAGTTCAGCCGCAGGTTCCTCCAGCCGCACCTGCTYGCTCTACCCTGAAGGTCAAGTCCCAGCCACAGGAGCCAGCAGTGGCCCAGCTCCTCTTGCAGTGCTAGTCCGAGGTGGCCAAGCCCTGCCCATGGCTCCCACAGCTACCACCATGAGAAGAAAGGCTTCCGGCTCTGGAAGCTCTGCGTGTAGGACTCACTGGCGGAGCGCTGGTGGGAACGCGCCGTTTCCACAATCACRGGTGGCATCTGAACCAGGTGCAGTGGACTCTTCCCATCTTTCAATGCCTGAGTCAGGTTCAGGATCTGTATGGCACAACAGAGCAATGCCTGAGCTGCCCCGCCAGAGCAACAGAGAGCATCCACTCCAGCAACCTTCCTGTTACACAGGCAGGACGAGGCTTCACAACTCACCCATCTGTCTTCCCCGTGCACAGCTTACCTGGCCTCTCATGACAGCAATCTGCTTGTGAAACTGTCCCCTGTCAAAGCCAGGGTCTTTCTGCAAGAGAGAGAGCAAAGAACACAGTGGGATCCACCCACTGCTTCATGCCCTGCACAAGATGCCTATTCCCCAAGCACCTTCTCCTGTCCTGTCCCATGGGTTTCCTGTTTCTCTCCACATTCAATCTTCAGCCTYCAGAAGAAGGACAACCCTGCTGTGCCCGAGCCCAGAAATTGTCAGGAGCTCGACCACCTTTGTACCCCTACAGCCTTGATAGAGAGCTCGCTTGTCAACACCACTCCCTCTTTTCCTCCTCCCACATCATTTTCACCCACTSCCCCAGCTCACCTTGAAGAGCTCATACAGATCTTCCTCCAGGTCCTTGACAAAGTTGGGGTCTGAGATCTTGGGAAGAATCAGGTCCTTGATCTCCTGTGAAAAGGGGATTTTGGCCTGGGGCAGCCATGCCCAGTAAAATGGATCTGTGGGAAGAAGCAGGAGACATTAGAACTTGGGAAAGCAAAGCATGGTGCCACATGCCTCTGGGTGCTAGATTCCCTGCATCTCGGACACAAGGTCCAGCATCCGCCTTCTACAGTCCCTGCTGGGGAGCTGCCCATGAACCCAGAAGTTACAGGGGTACAACCCTAGCCCCTCCTCTAAAGCGCTTGAGGAAGATGCCCAAGCAAGGAGTTGTATGGCTTGCCATGGCATAGCCCGAGGGACTCACATGCTCTCCAGGAGTCCGGGTGTTTCAAGGGAAAGGCCAAACCATTGTCTATAGCAGCCAGTTTGATGATGGGCTCCTTCACCACCACCCAGTCGCTGTCCTGGAAGGAAGTAAAGCACGTCACAGGGAGGTCCTCCCAGCAGGAACAGTCCCTCTCCTCCCTGCTGCCTGGCTATCAGGATCTCTGCCCTAACTACACAGAGGCACAGCAGCTGCTTGCCTGTAGCATGACCCCTTGTTTCCCTTGACCCCAGGGAAACACTGTCTGCTTTGGGTRGGAAGAGGGACAAAGCTGTTTCCCCCCAGGGCCTCGCTCCAAAGATACACAGRTCCAGCACACCAGTTTCCCCCATGAAGTCCCACTAGGCCACAAACTACCAACACAAAGSGTAACAAATGGCTCAGGAGACAAGATCAAGCCTCCACACATTTGAAAACTCAAGCTAGATGGGAAATTCCTGTCCCATCTCCCAAGCAGGCAGCTTTCAGAAGCAGAGCTGCTGTGTAGGTCCTGTCCAGGAGCAGCCACTCACCCGCACACCTGCGCTATCCAGGGGACAGTCATACTTGATGAGCCAGTTGTCATTGCCCCGATCTGCAGGAAGATAAAACCAGCTTTGTCAGCCCCAGGGCCTCCCTGCACCATGGTGGGCAGAAGACTATTCCTTCTCTGACCCAGAAGTGAGACAGACAGACACACTTTAGGCCCAAATTCTACCCCAGACCCCTTAAGTTTGCTACAGGCATGGGRAGCAACATCAACCCCCTCACAGCCAGGCCTAGAGGTCCACATATTGCCAGCTCCTGAGAGCTCCAACCTGCAAGCCTCAGAGTGCAACCTCAGCCTGGCAGAAACTCAGTGTGGGATAGGATAGAGGGGCACAGTGAGGTGCTGGATTTTGGATGTCCCTGGATCCTCACAGTTGGCAAACTTTCACCAGAGCACTGTGATAGACCGAGATCTGCCAGAACACAGACCAGCAACCAGAGCCTCAGATGGTGAGCAGCCAGCAGCTGCATTCTGCCTAGAGGAAGATGTCATCTGGCAGCAACCAAGGGGAGAGGAATTTTGGGCACTGTGAAAAGCCACTAGGACCCTACAGCATGGTAGGACAGGAAGGAGCAGGGAGCATCCAATGCCAGGCAGCTGGCCCTACCTGTGTTCCTGATGATGTAATCCAGCACCACCAGCCGCTCGAACTGCAGCAGCAGCTGCCGATTAGTGTTCTCCGGAAGCGGCTCGGCTTCAAAGCGCCGCAGCCAGTAGTCTGCATCCTTGTAGCCTTCCACAAAGAGCTGGAAGGAGCCCACCTGAAGCAAGGACAGGCTGCATCACAGAAGGCCACAGAGGCTGGGAAGGTGCCAACAGGCAGGCAAGGAGGCTGGCAGCCCTACCTTGGGTGGCAGACCAATGCGGTTGAAGCGCTGGCCGACTTTCGGCACCTTCTCCAGGGCGAGCCTCTTTCCTCGAGACTTCACCCTGTCAATGGCACTGTAGTTAAAGGTTTCGCTGGCCAGATACACCACCTGGAGGGACATGAGTGCAGACATCAACAAGGGCCTCTGGCAAGTCACGGGACTGCCTGATGAAACAAAGACACAGCATTTCCCACAGCTC